ATATATATATATATATATATATATATATATATATATGATTGATCATCTAAATTCTAAGATGATGTATAATGTATTAATATACAATTTCATGTGAAAAAAAAATGAACCAATTTTGTATTTTATGTAAGAAAAAAAGAAAAAGAAAAAGAAAAACCAACAAATACTATGATCCATTACATTAAACATACATATCATATATGTATATATATAATTTAATAATTTGCAAATAAATAATCCAAACAAAAATATCATCACAACATCAACCAGGTCCATCATTATTACTAAAATCCCAAAGGATATTAAACCCTCATGGACAAAAAAAACACAAACAAAAAGGACCAAATACTAATTAAACAAAAATACAACACAAAACACACATATCTTGTGGTAATTATTAAAAATTCCAAACATATAAATATTTTCACATATATACGTAACACGTACATATATATATAAATCACACATGATTATATGATTTGGTGATCTATATATATATATATATATAAAGATCAGAATAATTGAGTGGGGAGAGAAATAGTGGTAGTGTTGATGGAAGCATGATCTTGACCGAGAAGCTTCTGCGCAACAGAAAGTTGTTCCATCAAGATAATAATCTGGGCCCTGTATTCCCTTGCTTGATCCGCCGCCTCCGCCTCCAGGTCACCCAGCTGGCTGCAGAGATGCTCCTCCGCCTCCTCCGCCACCATCAGCCTCTCCCACGCTCTCTGCAGTTCTTGTTTCAGACCCGCCTCTCTTTCCATGCTGTTCTTCAGCTCTTTCTCCAGCTCTTCGTTTCTCCTCTCCACTGATTTTTTCCGGCTATCTGTTGGCGGCGGCGCCGCCGTGGTGGTGGTTGTTTGAGCCATGTTAATTTGTTTTTCAAAGAGGAGAAAATTAAAGGGCAATGCTAGACAATGCGTATTGGGTTTTGCCAAGTGTAGTTTATAACTTGAGTTTGGGTTTTATAGAGTGTTGGATTAATTTGGCTAAGTCTCGATGGCCCCACGTCGTGTGTGTGTGTGTGTTATTCGTCGATTATTTTGTAAAACGTCGTCGTAAGTTTTAATACGTTCTTTCGAATAAAAAAAATTAAATAAAAATGCAAATATTTTTTTCCAAATAAAATCGAAAACCCGGAGAATGAAATGAACTTGGATATTCTATTTTTTTTAATTTTTATATTCACCTATGTATTACAATAAAAAATATATATATATAAAATACGTATATAATAATATTGATATATAAATATATGGTTGTTTTGAAATTACTGTCAAAAATACAAATTGAATCGTTAATTGAAATCTCATATATTCCGATTCTAATCCAAACAATTTAGGACAAATAAAAGTTTGAACTTTTTTTTAGATTGCCAGGGGGAAAAAATTGAATCGAGACCAGCGAAAAATCGATTTTAATTTCCCATCACTAAAAACACCAGGATAAATACTCTTAAAAGTTTTAGACAATATATGCCCTAGGGGGACGAGGAATTTCACATTTTGGGTGAAAGAGTTTTCTATAATAATAATAATAATACAATATTATTAGAATTATCCTAACGATAATTAACGCATTATTATTAGATTATTATTATTATTATT